CATTTAAAATAGAGCGGAGATATTCTAGCATAGATTTCTATGATAAAAATCCATCAGTAGATTTCACTTAAGAAACAGGACGATGATATCCTACATGTAAGGTCTCCGCTGCATATCCCAGCCAGTACATAATCTGGCAACGTTAGTGTGTTAGCGCATGCGCAATATCTCACTAGAAGAGTTATATTTTGTGATGATTATCAATTTAATATGGTTAGGGGGTATCTCAGCATAGATTTCTGTAATTAATTGTTATCAGTACACCTGTGTTTATAATTAGGAGAGCGTCCTAGCCTGTAGGGTGCAAAATCCCTACTTCACCCGCTCCCGCCCATCCCCTCAGCCTCCTTCCTTTTCTCCCGCCCCTGCTATATTCCCTGCTGCTTTTCCCCAGTCTCCCAACACTCACTCCCTCTCTCAGCAAGCTATATTATACAGTTGCCTTCAGTCCGTATTGCACGCCTGAAAAGGTGTTCGCGCATGCGCAATATCTCCCGAGTATATTAATATTTTGCGAATATTATGGATTTAAAATAGAGAAGAAGTATTCTAGCATAGATTTCTATGATAAAATTCCATCTGTAAATCTCCCTTAAAAAAACAGGACGACGATCCTGCATGTAAGGTCCCCGCTGCATATCCCAGTCAGTACATAATCTGGCTACGTTAGTGTGTTAGCGCATGCGCAATATCTCACTAGAAAAGTTGTATGTTGTGATGATTATGCATTTAATATGGTTAGGGGGTATATCAGCATAGATTTCTGGTAGTAATTGTTATCAGTAGACCTGTGTTTATACTTAGGAGAGCACCCTAGCCTGTAGGGTGCAAAATCCCTACTTCATCCGCTCCCGCCCGCGAAATTCTTTTTCCCACTTGAGTTCCGGACCCACCATAGATAGTGTTTTGTAATAAATGGTTCTTATATATATGGTTGGATTATAGTTAGTGTTAGGGTTTCATGTACGCGTTAGGGTGAGGGTTAGGGTGAGGGTTAGGGTTAGGGTGAGGGTTAGGGATAGGTGAAACTCATTTTACATTGTTGCTTCGAGGAAGTCCAGTGAATGGAGTGCGCTGATTGGCTGTGGTCCGGAACTCAAGTGGAAAAACAATTTTGCCTCCCGCCCATCCCCTTGCCTTCATTGTCTTTCGCTCAGCCTCCTTCTTTTTCTCCCGCCCCAGCTATCTTTCCTGCTGCCTTTCCCCAGTCTCCCAAGACTCGCTCTCGCTCCCTCTCTCAGCAAGCTATATTAATTATACGGTTGCCTTCAGTCCGTACTGCACGCCTGAAACGGTGTTCGCGCATGCGCAATATCTCTCGAGAATATTAATATTTTGCAAAAATTATGCATTTAAAATAGAGCGGCGGTATTCTAGCATAGATTTCTATGATAAAATTCCATTAGTAGATCTCACTTAAGAAACAGAACGATGATCCTGCATGTAAGGTCCCCGTTGCATATCCCGGCCAGTACATAATCTGGCAACGTTAGTGTGTTAGCGCATGCGCCATATCTCACTAGAAAAGTTATATTTTGTGATGATTATCAATTTAATATGGTTAGGAGGTATCACCGCATAGATTTCTGTAATTAATTGTTATCAGTAGACCTGTGTTTATAACTAGAAGAGTGCCCTAGCCTGTAGGGTGCAAAATCTCTACTTCATCCGCTCACGCCCATCCCCTTGCCTCCATTGTCTTTCCCTCAGCCTCCTTCTTTTTCTCCCGCGCCAGCTATCTTCCCTGCTGCCTTTCCCCAGTCTCTCAACACTCACTCCCTTTCTCAGCAAGCTATATTATGCAGTTGTACTTAGTCCGTACTGCACGCCTGAAACGGTGCTCGCGCATGCGCAATATTCCCCGAGAATATAAATATTTTACGAAAATTATGCATTTAAAATAGAGGCGCCCTTGGTACAAATCCTGTTACACGCTCGGTCGACAGTACTCCAGGAGCTTCCGCTCGCAACCGGCGCATACTTCCCCCGAGCAAAATTGCCAACATTGAAAAAACGAACGCCCCGCCCAATAGAAAGCTGGCTACGGCCTGTGTGTTTTATAACTAGAACGAGTTGCCCTAAAGCCTGTGGGTGCAAAATCTCTACTTCATCCGCTCACGGCATCCCCTTGCCTCCATAGTCCCTTTCGCGTGCCAGCCTCCTTCTGTTTCTCAGCGCGCCAGCCTATCTCCTGCTGCCGTTTCCGCAGTCATCTCAAAGCACTCACATCCCTTTCTCAGGCAACCTATATTAAAATGCCGTTGTATTAGTCCGTAGTGCACTCCTGAAAGTGCGCAATATCTCGTCCGGACCAGAATATTAATATTTTGTGACAATTATGCATTTAAAATAGAGAGGAGGGGTATATTCCTAGCAATAGATTTCTATGATAAAATTCCAATCAGTAGACCTCAGTTAAAAACAGGACGATGATCCTGCATGTAAAGGTTGCGCTGCTGCCATATCCCAGACCAGTACATATCCTGGCTACGTTTAGTGTGTTAGCGCATGCGCAAATATCTAAAGTAGCTAAGAGTTATATTTTGTGATGAACTATGAATTTAATATGGTTAGCGGGGTATCTCAGCAATAAAATTTCTGCAATTAATTTTATCAGTAGACCTGTCCCTTCATAATTTAAGCAGAGCGTATTATTTTGTAGGCGTGTATTCCTCAAATTTCATACATCTTCCGTCCCTTCCCTGCTTCCCGCTCATCCTTTCGCCTTCTCATGTCCTTATGCTATCTCCCCAAAATATGTATGGCACAAATAAAGCTCTTTAGATGTGTCCCTTAATCTGGGGCAGAACGCGCACATAGGTGCAGGGAGTTTTCCTGTCCGGTAAAATTGGGTTCGCATGTCGAGTTTCAGAGTAGTCACAAAACTGAAGGTAAACGCATGGTTTCAAAATTCTGCATAATCTCAGTCCCGAATACAAAATGACTTGATGGATTTACATTAACTCGCGAAATCATTCACGGCTTTCAATACCTAGGGCTGGGGAGCTGTCAATCTTTAAACCAAGAGTGGGGGTCAATGGAAAAGACATTTATATACACTTCAAATTGGAAGCTTGGAAACTCCTACCACACTCACATTAGATTCTGGGCAAGCCAGATTTATATTAGTTTCAAAGGGCAAGTTTACAAAAAACACCTTATGGAAAAGGTTAAGACAATGGAGATGACAGTGACTTTCATATTTGACTAATCTCGTATAAATGCATAGATTAAAATATAGGGGTGACATGATCTCATCCTGTATATCAGTGTATTTATACTTGATACAGAGATTACATTATATGTAATTATATTATCACATATAAATATGAGTGTGGGGTGTATGTATGTATGCAATATATATATAATGATGTACTATACAATCGAGGTGTCGAAATGATTGGTAAAATGTAACCTAATCAACTTGCCCTGCACAGGCTATACTGAAGTTTTTTTCTTGTATGCTATTTTTTTTCTTCATGTTGTATATGACTGCTTATTGTACTGTATCACTCAAAATTACCATTTTAACGCCCAACACTAATTGCCACTTTTTCAATACGTTTATATCTATACAAATGTGAGTGTGTGCGAAATATGTTATGTTTGTAATGTGATATAATGGTGTACGAAACGCAGTGGTCGAAATGATGTGCTAAAAGGTACCTATTTACTTGCTACCAGAATTTTGATGAAGTTTTTTTTGTGCTGTATTAAAGTTTGTTTTTCGTGTTGTTTCTGCACTTGCTTTGCTACTGGTATTTCACTCTGGAAACATCTTTCATATTCGTACCGGCTAAAACATTTACGCGTAATCAGTTTTACCTGTAACAGAATATGCTGAAGTTTTTTTTCGTTTATATATTTTTTCTTCCATGTATCTTGGGGTCTCTGTTTTGTATATGTATCACTCAGAAAGCTTACTAATTTTTTCTTTTTTTTTTCTTTAACTGCTTCAAACACTTTACCTTAATTCACTTTACTTGTATATAAATATGCTTGAAAGTTTTTTGTTTTTGTTTTTTGTATATATTTTTTCTATTATGCTGTAATTTCAAATGTTTGTACTTGTAACAAATGTATAAATCACCACTAAGGAAATTTTGGCGGATTCGTGGGCTATATATTTGCTATATGTTTTATAGTATAGTATGTAGCAATGTTAATGTTGGACCACAAATGGAAAATAAGTGTTTAGCCCACGCTTTTTTGTGTTTTTCATCCTCGGATAATTGTTCTAGCTGCATTTTTTGTTTTATTTATGCTGTTATCAATGTAATGTAATGCTTTAGTAATTATACGAAATAAATCAATCAAAAATCAATGCAAAAATGCAAAAAACCCCTGTCGCATTCCTTTGTCACAGCTCGATCCCACCCCTCGTCTTCTCAACAAACTATATTTTCAATTTTTTGGGGGTCCGTATTGCCACGCGCAGGAAACAGCTATCGGCTCTCGCATGCGCATTATTCTCTCACCCTATGATTCTCACCAGAGAAATATCATTTGGAAAGAATTATTGAATTAAAATGAAGAATGAGGTATTCTAGCACCGATGTGTTTAAAAAAATTCCATCAATATTCCTCTCTTTAGTTTAGAAATGGGACGGGGTCCAAATATGTAAGGTAGTCGCGGCAAGTAGGGCCTAACACAATCTTGGCTCGTTAGCGTGCGTCTGTGCATTATCTCAACGCTCTTAGAAGAATCGCATTTATTTTGTGTTGACCAGCTATATTTATATCATAGCAGTTTATATATTAGACCGCCTCTATATTAATACAACTCTTATGTGATTTTATATATATCACTATCAGTCCGTCCAACCAATAGTAATTTTCTTGTCAGTACATGCTGCGCATGCGCGCATCTTTACACACAGTAGAGGCGCCACCTGTTGTGTTTATCGTATCGTGATGATAATGCGGCGTGTTCGGAAATATTTCGAATTTCGATGACAAGTAAATTAAGTTCGTATTTGAGAACACTTAAATAGAATAAGAATACTGCTGAGTGTTTGAAGTCGACGCAAGAAGAGTTGTAATTGCAATAGATAGCTTGTGATTACCATGGCAACTTTACACTTTCATAGGCTTCCTACGTGTTCTGTGTGTAATCATAGTTACACTCGAAAAGGTGATTAATTAACTTAATTAATTAAGGTAATTAATTTGCCGGTAGTTAAATGTATTGTGCCCTTTAATCTCTAACAGTAACATCAATCATTATATGTACTTGTTCGCATTCCATCGTGTTCAACTAGGTTACGTATAAATTATAATTATTATTGACATATTGCCGTTTGACTAGTTACGTTATAGATACAATAATGTAACCCAAACGCCAAGCAGGATAGGGTTACAAAGCCTCCCTATCCTTTTGTGCGGAGGAATGCCCGAGTGAAATCACTCGGGCCGGCTTTGCTGGGGCGTTTTCAGAGACTAGTACTTCCAAACTGGGTTTATTCTCAACACGAACCTTTCTCCGCTATCCGGGAACTTACTATGTATCGCAATACTCTGTATTAAACTAATATAAACCTGTTACAAAAATTCGAAGTGACGAGCGGCGGATATTTTCGAGCAGCGCACATTTCTGATGACCTGTGACGTACGCATTCCCTATGCGGCATAGCGTTCGGCTAACTTCGTCATGACGTCACGACTGACAGCAGGCCATCCTCATGATATATTCGATCTTGGAGTCGAAGTTAGCGCGAACGCTATGCGCATTGGGAATGCGTACGTCACAGGTCAACAGAAATGGCGCTCGAAATATCCGCCGCTCGTCACTTCGAATTTTTTGTAACAGGTTATATTAGTTTATATACAGAGTATTGCGATTACATAGTAAGTTCCCGGTAGCGGAGAAAAGGTTCGTGTTGAGAATAAACCCAGTTTGGAAGTTCTAGTCTCTGAAAACGCCCAAAGCAAACCGCCCGAGTGATTTCACTCGGGCATCCTCCGCACAAAAGGATAGGAGGCGTTGTAACCGCCTATCCTCTGGGTTTGGGTTACATTATTGTATCTAGGTACGTTATAGCTTCCAAGAAACGGTAATTGCTAGGGTTAGAATCACAGGCACTTGGGACAGAGTCAGTAAAAACTGAAAAATAATATGAACACACATTCACAAATAGGCCCTACTACCGTACCCCTCTGTTACAGTTCCACTGTTGCGACACTGTATATCAACTTTCCTTTCATATAAACCTATGTAAAAAACTAACGCCCGAACGCATCCTCACTCGCCGCTGCGAGTGTGCTGTGACCGCGTATGATAATACATATATATAGATGAAGTAAGGAAACTCGCTGTTGCAGGCGATTCTGAACGATCACTCTCGATCTTATTCAAATTTCAACAAACTTTTCAGGCACCTACCACCTCCATATCTTGGCGCCTCATTTGCCCATCTATAGATTCCAACTGCAACAAAACTATGTACACTACCGTAGGCCGAGAGAAGTGCCAACCCTTTGCTTTGTAATGTTGACTTCAGCTCAGAAGTCGCCGCCGTTCGTGCTGATTCATCAAAAATGTATACGATTCACGATTCCGAATCGGCCCGGTAGTCCGAGGGCGCCGCGCGAGCGCGGAACTAGCGCTTGCGGCGGAGACGCGTCATATACACTGCCGGTGATTTGTTTACTACGCTGTTGCCCTCGACTACGGCGGCCCGATCGCCGAATCGTGAATCGTAATACATTTTGATGGAATCAGCACGAACGGCGGACTTTCTGAGCTGAAGTCACATTACAAAGCCAAGGTGGCAACTTCTCGGCCACGGTAGTTACATAGTTATTTGTTCAGTGGACTAAAGAGGGCAGAATTAGCCAAGATATGGAGGTGTGTAGGTGCTGCTGAACAAGTTTTGTGAAATTTGAAAGAATCGAGACGTGATGCGTCAGAATCGCGCAAACGGCGCTTTCTACCTTCTCTATATATAGTTATTATTATCATATCGTCACGCCGTGCGCGGCCCGCAGGCGGGGACCCGTTTGGGAACTTGCCCCCCGATTGAATCGTTGCGGACCCCGTTGAATTACCTCCGCCCCGTTTTAAATTTCGCACCACAATAAAAAAGTTGCCCAGCGCCGGGAATCGACCGTCAAGAATTTGCCGTTCGACGCAGGAATCCGCACGCGTGTATTTTACCAGTAACCACGCATGCACTGCAGACAGTACATCAAAGTTAACCTTGTCACTAACTGTACA